TTTTTACTTAAAAGGATTTTCTTGTTTTTAACAGAGTTTGCTTCTAATTTTTACAAATGTGAATCTAGTCCAGAGCGCTCCTCCTCATCTGCCTGAAACATTTTCCTTGAACTCATTTTGTGGTCACTGAACTCCACTTCCTTTGCTTCAGACCCTTGAAGAGGCATTGTCAAAATGTTCTAAATGCATAGGAGTGATGATTAACTCCTGTCAAGACAAAAGATTTTCCCATTCTCACTCAGCCATCAGCTCTAGTCAAACATCGAAACACAGCTACCTTCAAAACCATTCCCTTTGTTAGCACAAGACTTAATATAAAAACTTTAAGAATGGTGGTTATCTCTGTGTTAATAAGCAGGTATCTCTAATACCTTTCTGTGCTCTAAATAATACACCAAAATAGGGAGATTTCCCTTGTTAGGATAAATTCTCTTATTCCCAGTTCAAGATTTGAGAGGAATCCTCATGTGGATGAAGTGGAATGTGGGATTTGGTTGGTGTTTGTTTTCTGTGTTTTGGCACTCATGCAACCCAGTCTAGCTCCCAACTAGTCATCCCTCTACCCTTCACCACCATGCCCAGAATCATACAGATTTTTTGATTATCATAATTATGTTCATTACTGACCTCTAGGGCCTGGCAACTACAGTATCAATGTGTTGGTGGTACCGAGGCTGAAAAACCCTAGTTGAGAGGAAATAAATGACATCTTTAAAATGTTAGTTGCTTTCCTGTCAGGATGCAGTAAGTGAGCCTTGTGATGAGAAGAGTCTCAGCATGTCGGTTGGCTGATCTAGAAGGGTGCATGGTGGTGCCCTTTGTTTTGGGAAGGGACTGTGGACTTTCTTTCCCTCTATTGCTAAAATAAGCTGAAAAGGCAGAGGTGCCAACTTCCTCTCGTGTAAAAGCTGCTTGCTGACCCTGACACAAGAGCAGTGATTGAAGGTGCACCTTTCTCCATCAGCTACACTCGTTTCCTTAGACGCTCCACCACACGTCTCCCTAAGTGTTCCTTGTGAGCCATCTTGCTGGGTTCACGCAGTGGAGCACTAGTGAAGAATAGAAATCTGCCCCATCAGAGGCAATATATTCAACCCACAATCTTTCATTATAAAGAATTGCCATGTTTTCATGTTTTAAAGCTTTCTTTGTCTCAGCACCACTTTACTGCCTACCTATTTGCCTGCTGAAATAGAAGTGATCAAAAAAACTGAAAACAGCCACGCTTGTTTTGTTCCTGGCTTAGTATTTGTCCTACTTCTCTTTCAGAACAGGGATTTGTAGCTGTTTAGTAGGTGATAAGCAAAGGGTTGTACCCAATGTAAATGGGGGGAAAGAACTGTAATATTAAAGGACAAAGATCTTTTTTCCAGTTTCCCTTCTTTAGGAAAAAAAAGTCTGTCTTTGGGAAGACTTAATAGGAAAGCAAATGTCCTTTATTGCATTTTATAGAACAAATGGCTACAGACTTTTAGCAGTCAAACTATAATATATTTTATGGCTTTATTTTCATTTTCTCCCAACCACACCCAAAAAATGATACCATGCTAGAAAATGAGGCTTGGGGGTGGGGTAATTTTCTCGGGAAGGTTAGTTCCTCACATTGAGAGCAACATGCATAATTTCCAACAGTTAAGCAGAGCTCAGTACAGCAGCAAAGAGCTTTATTATCTTAGCAAGATTCCTAACATTGTTTTCCTGACTTGGAATTAATGATGCTGTTTCAAAATCTTAGTGCTAGATTATATTGGGATAGGACTGCATACATGGTGTCAGCTCTGCTAACATAATGGTAACAAGTAGAACCTATAACTGAGACATTCAGACATTTTTGTATGTGTATCCATTTCAGATCCTCAAATGTATATATAGCTCAGGACTTACTCAGGTTTAAGAATACATAGAGAATATTTGAAGGAAGTGGATACAAAAATACTGTCTAGCAACTGGGCTTGTGTTAAAAAATGCTGACCCATTACATAGACAATGGCCTTCATGTAAAGATTACAGCAACTTCTATTACAACCATCGCTCAATATGTGAGAATGCAGGGAAAGAGAAATAGCTGCAGTGCCATGTTTTATTTGTGGCTTAATAATGCTAATGCCATGTCAATTGGCTATATTTCAGAAAACTTAATCTTGGATCATTTAAGTATGTAAATAGCTGATGGTACTGAATTGTTTTGGGCTTTGGAACATTAGAGATAGGAATAGAAGTTGAGTTTGAGCTTATTCCTGTGACTGCAGCTTTACTGTCACTGGTAAAAAAAAAAAATTTCAAAATCAGGACTTCTAATGGGTCAAAAGCAGATTAAGAATATCTCTGATTGAGGAAAATAATCTTGTTTTCCCAGATAATTTGTCCAATGATCCTAAAAAATATATAAAGTGGGAGACATATGCTAAACTTGCTTTTATTCCTGAATTCCTTGTCTAAGCTAAAACGTGTTGATTTGCTGTATAGACTGTAAGACCAGTGGTTCTCAACCTGTGGATCTTGACCCCTTGCATATCAGATGTTTATATTACAATTCATAACAGTAGCAAACATAACAGTTATGAAGTAGAAACAAAAATAATGTCATGGTCGGGTGTCACCACAGCATAAGAAACTGTATTAAAAGGTCACAACAGCATTAGGAAGGTTGAGAACCACTGCTATAGACTTTTCCTGAATAATATAGTGCATATACGTTACTTGTAAATTCTCAGACCAGATGGCTGCTTATAATTGTTCCAGCTCCAAAATTCCCTTCATTCCACTTTAGTCCTTTCATTTTTAGAGATAGAGAAAACAGATTGCTTTGTTTAAAGAGCTGCAACTAGAACACAGGCTAACACTTGCTAGCTCTGTGACACACTAATGTCAGTCAAATATGGGCATTCAAATAATGGTTTCAGACTTCAGGAGTAGCCATGCTTTACTAATACCATAACTTGGAAAATATAAAAGGAGAGGTGGTTTTATTTTTTAACTTACCTGTAGTTTTGCTACTGTGTTAGCTGTTCTTTCTGTTGAAAGAACTCCCTCTAGTCATTCCTTTATGATGTGGCACTGGCAGATTCTTCTTCAGTTTTTCTCACTGAGAATGTCTTGATTATTTCCCTCTGATTCTATTGGATACAGATTTTTCTGTTGATATTTCTTACTATACCTACAAACAGCATTTTATAGGCTAAACAGGCTGCTTTAAATAAATAATTTTTTAAAATATATTAAGCCACTTGTTATGGATCGTGTGGTTTCTGGTGACCCGCACACTGTCATTCTAATAAGCTTCTTCACTGTAGATAAAATAGTTTCTTTTTGTTTGTTTTAAGGGTTTTTTTCTTGACTTCAGGCTTTAGAACTTTTACCTTGGTGTGGGTATGTGGGTTATCTTGAGACAGGATTGTTTAGTATCTGGAATCCATAGTTTTATTTCTGGCCCAAATCTGTTGTGTCTTCAGACAATGAATGCATCTTTGAGTTTTGGGTTAGGTCTGTACTTTTTCTTCTTGAGCTCCAGTGACACAAATGTCAGACCTTTTGCTGTAGTCCGCAGACCCAGAAGGCACTGTCCTGCTCTTGTCCAGCCTGCCTAATAAGCTTCTCTATTGTGATTTAATGTGTTTCTTGGCTCAAAGAGTTCCACTTTGTACCTTCTGTCTGTTCGCTGAGAGTTAGTACTTTATCCCCACTGTCCCAGATGTGCCTGTAACTGCTTATTGGAGCATTTTATCATGGCTGCCTGTAACTCTTGTAAGTCTTGGGTTTGTCATCTCAGTTTTGTCATCTGTTGGCAACCTCTTCTAATTTTTAAATCTTCTGGTTCTTGATATGTTGGAGTGATGTATTGAAACCTGGCTATTTTCAAATGGTGTTTTGAAACTGTATATCATCTAAACCTTCTGTTTGTACCGCCCTTTCCTGGCACTGCTTTGTCAGGGTGGTGGGTGCCTTCCTGTTACTGACAGCAGATATAGTCTAGGTTCCTTACTCAGCCTCTGTTGGCAGGTGAGGGAAGGACCCTTCTTACTTCTGAGTGCTTCTGAGCTTCATGTAGTCTCCACCGCTGTCGCTGGGAGTGAGTGAGAGTGTGCTTGTCCACTATAGTAAGTGTTGTCTTCCTAAGCCTGCATTAACACTGTCCTCCAGGACTTTCTGTGTCTTTCTGTGGTTACAGTGGTTGTCAAGGCTCTACACTGAGCACTGGCTGGTGAGAATGGGGCAGTTTCAGTAGTGTTTGGCTGCAGTAGACCAGCTATGGTCAAAGCTTTCTATCTTACTAAGCTGCCACTTTATTGTGCCTTTAAACAGGAAACACTTTTACTTGTTTTGTCTATACTAGTTCATATTTCCAGGCTGCTGACTTCATCGGTCCCACATCTGGCATAGATTACCCAAAGAGAGCACAGGGAATTCACTATTGTATTGCTGCTTGGATCCCCAAGTCCCTGTTGTTCTGCCTTTCTCAGCTTCTCAAATCTTCTTAGACAGATGATAGATGATAGATAGATAGATAGATAGATAGATAGATAGATAGATAGATAGATAGATGACAGACAGACAGACAGACAGATGGTAGATTTTTTTAATCATGTGCCTGCATTGCCATGGTGTGCGTGTGGAGGTCAAAGGACATTTTGCAGCAGTTGCTTCTTTCCCTTCACCATATGGGGTCCCAGATCAAACTCAGGTCCTTCAGCCTTTCTGGCAAGCACCTCTAAGCAGAGCCTCACACGATCCCCTCCCTTAAATGTTATTATATCCAGGGTCTTTAATTATACTTTGTAGAAATAACAGGGAAATGTGCAAGTACTTTCTGTAAAGTGGTGGGCAGCCAGATGTACATTTGATCTGTCTGTGTCAAATAGAGAACCATTATCAGGGGAAACATTACATGCTGTGTATTTCATATGATTTGCGTAATGGTCTCACAAAGACTGCTGGAAATAATGTCTTTATTTAAACTGGAATCATTGTTCTTGTTATTAACAAAAGCTATTTCTCTTTAGGAAATAATGCAAAAGGTGTCTCAAGGCTCCTGACCAGTGAACAAAGATTTGAGAAAGACAGCCAAGCTCATGTTTTCTCCTGATCAAGAAAACCATCCTTCCAAAGCCCCAGTGAAATATGGTGAACTCATTGTCTTAGGGTAAGAGACATAAAACAACATGATGTGGTCTCTAGGTTAGAACTGTTGTTAATTTGTGTGTAAGAATTCATGCCTTAACACTTGCAGAAGAATATAGAGCTAATACTGTTTGATAGCAGTGTAAGAAATTCCTAATGCCCATGTTTATGCCGCTTTTGTAAGTTGAGTTATGAATAAGAGGCTAGGGAGATGGCTCAGAGACTAACGGTCACAGTGCTTGCTGCTCTTAACTCCCAGTGAGTCTGAGCTCAGTTCCCAGCAGCCCCTCCAGGAAGCTCATGGTGGCTGCGACTACAGACCCAAAGGATCCAGCACCCTCTCCTGGCCTGCAAGCTGCCACACAATAAATAACATCTGTCATTCAAGTACCGAGTAAACTTTACCTTGTCCTACCCTAGAGAAGGAATTTGCATTTTCTGTCCTATCCTTCCCTGCTTGAGGTCATTTGTGTACCTTAGTACGTATTTGTTTGTCCTTTTGCCTTCTGGGTAGTGTAAGCTTGTGCATAAGGACCAGGTTTATAGACCTACGGGAGCAATCAAATAACTCAAGCACAGCATATAAGTATCCATTTGCATCACAGTTATCTTATTCATTTATCTCCCAGAAAGGCAATCTGAAGAGAGAATAGGTGATTCTATTATTTCAGTTATTTTAATCTAAACTTGGAATGACTGCAAAATGCAAGTACAGTGTGTTAACTAAGAAGTTGAGAAACTGAAAATTATGAAATTTCCTGCCCACCTGGTACTTATTTTTTTCCCTAAATATCTGGTGCTCTACACTTTGTACTGTCTTTGAGAGTCAGACTGGTATAGCTTCTTGTTTATCTATGACTTTTTAAACTTAGCATCTGTAGGTGCTTTGCCTGCATGTGTGTCTGTGCACCATACGCATGCCCGATGTCACAGAGGCAGCTTTGGTTCCCTGGGACTGGAGTTACAGAAAGTTGTGAGCACTGTGTGAGTGATGTGATTTGAACCTGGGCTCTCCGGGAAAGTAACCAGTGCTCTTAACTGCCCAACAACCTCACAACTCCTGTCTATAGCTTCTGACTGGAGGTCCATTGTTTCTTCCAACAGTGCTAGTGAGATTGCCCAGAACAAGTCAGCTGCACTGGCCAAACCCAAAGCAAACTTATGTGGGATGTGCTGGCACATGCCAGTCACCCAGCATAAATTTCATTATAGTAACCACAGCATTACAACTTTGGCTAGACTTTTAGAAAATGGATTGCTTTAGGGCTGTTTAATATACCAGATTTGTTTGTTTGTTTTTTAGTATAGTATTAAAATGAATTCAGTAGTGCCTGATTGTGGTACATACCCAGATATGTTTATTTTTCATTTTTTCCAAGTTGTTTTATTTATGTTTCTTACTTGCTTGCTCTTGAGGTTTACATGTGTTATAGAGAAATGATTGGAAGATTGAAGCAGCAGAAGTAGGCTTAAGCACTAATTGGGAAAACTCAGTTGAACAGGAGATGGCAACACATTACTGTTCTATTCGGGTAGCTAGGACTTAAGACACTTCCTTACTGCAAAAGTTCGGCTTTCAAAGTGTTGGGTTCACAATTAGAGTTTCTGTTTCAATTAATGCTGTAAAATGTTTACCTTAAAAAGTATAGTCATAAGGAATCTGATACCCATTACTCAGTTCTTGCTTTTATGGGTAACTCAGAGTGATGTATGATACTTCTCTGTGGCTCAAAACATAGCCAGAAAGAGTCTCATTTTGTTTCACACCCAAGCAGGTAGACTGAAGATCAGCAGTTGCTAGAAGGGAATTTGAGGTAATTAATTGAAAATTAAACACACATGTAAGACAAACTATAACCTTTGTTTTATGGTTGTGTAATCCTTAAAAGAGATCAACTAAACTGCTTTTCTTTCCTGCCAGGTATAATGGGTCTCTCCCAAACGGCGATAGAGGAAGGAGGAAAAGTAGGTTTGCTTTGTTTAAAAGACCTAAGGCAAATGGGGTGAAGCCCAGCACTGTGCATATTGCATGTACCCCTCAGGCTGCCAAGGTAAGATAAATTTCTAAAGAAGTTAATTGGAAAATTGAACTATTCTTATGTGTGGTCTGTATTCTCTAGTGCTTTGCATTTCTGTTTCATATTTCTCCTTTTGTTTAGATTGAGGAAGAGACTTTGGAAACATGCCATTTGAAAGTCTGTCGAATGGAACCCCCCACCCCAACTGCCCCTTGTGACAGGGGCAGGTAGAAATTAGAAGAAACTGTTTCCAGTCTAAGCTCCATGGGTCCTCTGGTTTTGATTTGGTTTTTGGCCTATGCCCTTCATAGATTCTGCCCAGGCCCTTGCTCACAGTGGACCCAAGCAGCCACTGACAGAATGAAAACAGTGGAAGGCGTGTTCTCAGCCAGACCTAACGTTCCCACCCTCCAGGCCTTGTTCATCCTCCCAGCCCTTTTATTTCCTCACCAAGAGTTTTAGAGTTAAGACTCTTGTGCCTTTTTAGACTGATGAAAGTGGAGAAAGATTTGAGTCTTCTTTTTGCCTTGGAATTCCTCTCTTTCCAGTTTATAAAACAAACTGAATTCAGTAATGTGGTATCCGGATAAAAACCATTACAGAGTTCCTTGACTTGTAGAGGTATCAGGAACTAAGTAGCCCTAGGGTGCGCATGAGCGTTAGAGAATCTGTGCTTTAAAGTGTGGTTAAATAAATGAGATGCATTACAGTTGGGATATGCTGCTTGTTTTAGGTGTCTGGTCCCTGAAGTTATCTATATTTCAGCCTTGTTTTATATCCAGCTTGAATATCACTCCTTCATCTGGCCTCTCCTTGCTCACTGTGTGAGAGCTGATGAATGTGTGGGAGGGCTGTCTGCCCACGGGGTTCTTTCCCTCTTGCTCTTTTGTAGAGAAGGAGTGTGGAGAGTAGATGGTGGCAGCTCGTTCTGAGCTACTCCTTGTGATGCTTGCCCATGGAAGTATATCAGAATTTGGAATATACCAGTTCTTCATTTTGAGGACTGTTCACGTGTTACAAGATATTTAAGTCCTTGGTTCCATGTGCACTGAAAGTCATTTAATCACTAACATCATTGTGACAGCCAAAAGCATTTAAATATTTTCAGATGCCTCTTAGCTGTATAATACCTCTGGTTGAGGGACCAGTGTCAAGAGAAATGCATATAATCTACTTTCTCATTTTGTGTATGTGCACACATGTGTGAATTTGCAAACATGTCTGCGTGCCTGTGAAGGCCAGAGGTCAACATCTGGTGGCTTCCTCAGTCATTCCCCATTTTGGTTTTTGAGTCAGTGTCTCACTGAACCTGGAGGCCTTTAATCAATGGGCTGGCTGGCCAGTGAGCTTGAGGTGTCCTCCTGTCTCTGCCCCTAGCACTGAGATATCTCCCAGCCCTACTTTCTCAATTTTTTATATTATCTTGCCTTTCTTGTTTTCATTGTTATCTCCTTTTTAAACAACAAAAATCTCAGGGATTGAAAATTGATGAGTGTCAATTTTTAAAATTTCTGATATATCATGAAGAAAATTTAACTTTTATAAATGTCTGGCAGTCATCTAGGATGAAAGTCCCTGACTTTCAGTGGGACTCAGGCATACCCTGTTACAGTTCTTACTCCTAATTTAAGAAAAGGTGTAACAGCTGAAAAACGATTATAGCCTAGTACTCATAAACTCTTTAGAAATTATTAACTTTCAGAACTAAAGATGTAGCTTAGTCATAGACTATTTCCTGGCTTGTGTGATGCCTTGTGTTCGATCCCAACACATTAGCTGCAACAAAACTTTTAGCCTTGGCATGTGTCACGTACCTGTCATCTCGGTGCTCCAGAGGCTAAAGAAGGATGGAGAGTTGAAGCTCAACATGGGCAACACCTTGAAGCCTTGTCCCCTGCCCTTGCTCCCCTAAAAAAAAAAAAAAATCCAGAAGTTAGCAATTACTTAAATTCTCTTAATATAGAATTTCTGTAGATTTTAAAACATGTGAACAATTATATTTATGACTACATAAATATGTAGTAAAATTAGCACCATACTTGTGATTTATCCATACTGCATTCATGAGGAACATAGAAAAGGGCATGTGGGTAGCCACAGTTATATCTCAAGGTTTATTTTAAGAATTAAAAGAAACGCAGAGGAGGGCCACCAAGATGGCTCAGTGGGCTAATGCATTTTGTACTAAGCCAGATAGATTGGATGGGTGGGTGGATGGATAGATAGATAGATAGATAGATAGATAGATAGATAGATAGATAGATAATGTTTGTGATCGAGAGAGAGTCTGATTGATTGCCCACACCCATATAACCCCAGCACGTGGAAAACCAAGGAGTTTCTAGAGTTCAAAGCCAGTCTCCATTGCATAGTGAGGTCTAGGTTATCCTGAGCTACATAAAGCCAGTATGGTAGCATGTACCTGTAATCTCTGCACTCCATAGAAACTAAGACAGAAGGAGTTCAAGTTTAAGACCAGCCTGGGAGATAGATATATATTCCAACTCTTTCTTTCAAAACAAACAAAAACACAGAAACCTAGTATGGTAGTGCATGCCTTTAATGCCAGCACTCAGGAAGCTAAGGCAGGTGGTTCTCTGTAAATTAAGAGGCCAGCCAGGTTTACACAGCAAGTACCAGGACATCCAGAGATCCTGTCTCAAACAAGTGAGATGGTAAAATAGCTTTTTTTTTTTTTTTTTTTTTTTTTTTTTGGTTTTTCGAGACAGGGTTTCTCTGTGGCTTTGGAGGCTGTGCTGGAACTAGCTCTTGTAGACCAGGCTGGCCTCGAACTCACAGAGATCCACCTGCCTCTGCCTCCCAAGTGCTGGGATTAAAGGCGTGTGCCACCAACGCCCAGCTAAAATAGCATTTTTTAAAGCTTTGTTAAAACCTGGTAGTTGGTACTTAGGTATTATCTTTAGATATTTGAAAATTAATTTCTTTAATATTAAAACTTCAGGAGGCCTTACCTATTACAGATAAACTAAAAATGGAAACATTTCCCCTCCTTTTGCTATGTTTACTCTTGTGTCTTCTTACCTATTTTCCTTTTATACAGCTGTTTCTACGCCTTTTGTGCAGTAACTACGTTTTCTCTTCCAGTATTATCTTCAGCTCATTGCCATAGGCAGCCTGAAAATAGAAAAGTGTATTTCCATTTAGGATAAGTAAAAACCGTGGCCGTCGGCCGGGCGGTGGTGGCGCACGCCTTTAATCCCAGCACTCGGGAGGCAGAGGCAGGCGGATCTCTGTGAGTTCGAGGCCGGGCTGGACCGATAGCCTCCGAAACAATACAGAGAAACCCTGTCTCGTAAAAAAACAAAAAAAAAAAAGCCGTGGCCGTCATCATTGCCTCTATTTTTTCTTGTAATGTTTAATCATCTGTAAATTTTTCCGTGTCTGGTTCAGTGTATCATAAACACTTGCCATCTGTAGGGTTATAAAATGAGCTGATAATTCTGGTTTAACTATATATGTCTTTATATCACTTTAAAAATGAGTTTTTTGTTCCTTGCAAGATTTTTGTATTTTTCAAAGAAATGCTAGGTGTTGGTTTCAATTTCCACTTGGTATTTGATTTTAATCCCCTTGTAATTTAAAGTACTTTTAAATGAAACACGGCTTTTTTTAAGAGTTTAAAATTTATGTTTTTGTTCTTGTCTATTAAGTATCCTATTACCATTGAACCTGAGAAGCCACAATCACAATTGAAGTTATATAGAGTCTCTAGCCTCTGCCCTAAATTCCAGGAGGGAAATACATGAATGTGACAAATATTTTACCTTCCTTTAGTTGAAGAGATTTTTCTGATTTGATTGACTGCTAATTTTTGCTGTTAACCTTTTCATTCATAGGCAATAAGCAACAAGGACCAGCATAGCATATCATACACATTATCTCGAGCCCAGACTGTGGTGGTTGAGTATACTCATGACAGCAACACTGATATGTTTCAGGTACTATAACATAAAATTTTTCTTTAAAAATGAAAAAGTTAAAAAATCTATTGTCAATGACTCTGCTATGATCAGATTAAATATACTTTCATGTTGTATCTGTTTAAAATATGTATTGAGTTTTGAAATTCCGTATCTAAAAGTCATCATAGTATTGTTTGAAATTGGGCTCTGAAGCTAGAGAGTTGGTTTAAGGGTTAAGAGCACTTGCTACTCTTGCAGAGAACCCAGGTTTGGTTCGTAGCACCACCTTAAAGTGGCTCTTAACAGCCTATAACTCCAGTTCCAGGGGATCTAGTGTCTCTTCTGGCCTGGTAAACATGTCTTAGCTACTCTGTGCCTTCTCCTCCTCTGTAAAGTGCAGAGAACAGCCTCTCTCTCCCTCAGGATGGTTAGAGGCTGAAGGGGGTGTGTGCATGGAGCAGATGCAGATCTGGGCCAGCTGTGAGTAGCTCATAGTAAATAATAGTTGTTACTGTTCCAAACAAGAAACCCAGATGCACATAATTTAGACTTCTTGTTGCCCACCTCCCAGCTTCCTTTCTAAGCAACAAAGAAACAGGCAATTTCTAACTCTTTACATCAACTAGAGGAATTTGGTTTTCAGCACTCAACTGGTCAAGGCTACTGGCGTAATAAAAATCTCTTCCTCTGGCTCCCGTCCTCTGCAGCAATCTGATGTTGATGCTTGTTTTTATATGCTGATAGATCATAGAGCAGTGAAGCCCAGAGACATAAAATTCTTGGTATTTTCTCTCTTACTGTTAGGTTTTCTAAAGAAACTTAACTAGAATTGACTATTACCAGTCAATTAAAATTGTTGTCCCAATTAGTTTTTTTCATTTTTCTTTATAATGCTAAATGAAAGGACCTAGAGATGTATTTAGTTTTGATCGTTAGCAAAATACGTTTGAGGCTGATCTCTCATCTAGCTCTGTAGATGAGATGTAGGTTTATTATTTAAGAACAGTATCTTTACAGTTACTATTAGAATATAGATGTTTGTTTCTCTTGTTTTTTACTAACAACATCCTTAGTGATAAAAGATTGGATCACAATACAACATAATAGTAACAGTGTTTTTCCATATCCTTATCAACAATCAGTATTTAAAACGAATGTGATTAGTTTTTTAAAAAATCAAGATGACAGGTAGCTGTTTGCTCACATATTTGAAATTTAACTTCAAAAAGTAACCATGTATTTATATGTTTATCTTATCCTTTGTAGTTGCCTCTTTGTTTTCCTAAGTTAATTTTCTATGTGCATCATCCCTATGGAAAATTAAAGATATCTGCACTGTAAAGTTTAAGAAAAATCAGAAACCAGTCAAGTAAATTACTTCATTATTGAGGGATGAATTATCTGCCTTCCAAACTAAGAACATTCATGCTGAGTCTATTGGGTAGAAATTCAGATTCCAGTTCAGTTATATGTGGAGGGGTCCCAGTGTCTCAGTGTGAAGTGCAGACTTCTGATGGGGAGGAAGGACAGGTAAAAGACTTCATAGTCTTTTTTAAAATCTGTACTTTCAGGCCTTTAATCCCAGCACTTTGGAGGCAGAGGCAGGCAGATCTCTGTGAGTTTGAGGCCAGCCTGGTCTACAGAGCCAGTTCCCGAACAAGCAAGGCTGCACAGAGAATCCCTGTCTCAGAGAAACACAAAACAAATCTATACCTTCTAACTGGATTTAATAGGACCTCTGATAATAACCATAGAAGGGATTCTTAAAAAAAAAAAAAAGGATGTCAGAGAAATAGTATAAAATATGGTAGAAAATTGACAATTCTACTTACAGCTAGAGCATGGTACATAGAAGTAACATGAAATTGGTTGACTTTTTAAGGCAGCCCTTGGGTTCACTTCTGTCTCCTCTGGAAAAGTAAAAACCATACACTGATGCACACAGTTGTGATTCCAGCTCCTTGGGAAACTGAAGCAGAAGGAGGCCATCCTGGACTATAGAGCTAGACTCCCCCCCCCCCCCAACACACACACACACACACACAGAAATCCTGTTTGTAGAGAGTTGGTATTTTCTATGTGCCATCATTAATACGTTAAAGAGCCTATGACTTCTAAACATTTCCACTAAAACCGAGACATGAGTCACTTTTGTCATCTGTTTCATTCCTTTTTTCCCCTTTCAAGATGCAAAAAACATTCTTACTAGTGAGTACTTTAAAGGTAGTTTTACCCTGACACCTGCCTCACCGAGGACTCCAGTTAGAAACCTATTGCTCAGAAATGAAAAATACCAAGGTATATGACAAATCCTACAGGCTACATAGAGAATTCTTTTTTTCTGTGCTTCCTTGGGGACCCTGAAACAAAGGTACCTTTTGAAGTACTGTTCTTTGAAGTTTAGTTATTTGATGTCTCAATCCTTATCAGAGTGAGAGGTTGGAAGAGAAGCTTTTGTTGCTAAAAACAAGCACAACCCAAAGCAGAAACTGACAGCTGCTATTTAATAACCTGGTGCAAACTGGTGGAGAGCTGTTCCAGAGACTCTGAGCAAGGCTGTATCCATGGCCTTTAGTGGGAGGAGCAGGGTTTGTGGACAGCTCCTGAACACAGCAGCAGGTTAGGTTTATTTCAGTGATGTTCTAGAGCTGTCATAAAAGATTTACTCACCTTCCATGTATATAAGGTGGGATAGTATATGCTTAAAAGGGTTAGACCCCAAGGCCATCTAAGAACCTCCCCCACATTGGATTCCCTGAGGGTCTTGGGAATTCATTGTGTGCTCCCACTTAGTTCTGCACTCCAAGTGACTGCTGTATCGGAGAGTGTGACAGATTGGCTTTCAAAGGTGTAGGTGGGGATAGTACTGCTAAGTCTGAAATTTAGAAATTGCAGATGCCTAATGCTTTTACTGTATCTCTTAATGGATTCTACTGTGGTCTTTGAATGAAGTCATATGTTCTTTTTTTTCCCCTTTAGATTGGTCGGTCAACTGAAAGTCCTATTGATTTTGTAGTAACTGACACAGTTCCTGGAAGTCAGAGTAACTCTGACACGCAGTCAGTACAAAGCACTATCTCCAGATTTGCCTGTAGGATCATATGCGAGCGCAATCCCCCCTTTACAGCTCGGATTTATGCTGCAGGGTTCGACTCATCAAAAAACATCTTTCTTGGGGTAAAAAGCTTTTTTTTTCCTAATGCATTTTTTATAGAAGTTTCTATTTCCAAATTGCACATAAGTAGAAAGTCACTCTTTTTACAGGAAAAGGCTGCCAAATGGAAGACGTCTGATGGGCAGATGGATGGCTTGACCACTAATGGTGTTCTTGTGATGCATCCACGAAATGGGTTCACAGAAGACTCCAAGCCTGGAATATGGAGAGAAATATCAGTTTGTGGGAATGTATTCAGTCTTCGAGAAACCAGATCAGCCCAACAGAGAGGAAAGATGGTAAGTACTTCTGTGTAGCCTCTTCTTACAACAGTAAACATAAGTAAATATAAGGTGAGTTGAACTGGGAGAGAGAGAGAGACAGAGAGAGAGAGAGTTGATTGGTTTTTTTCAACTTTTAGACTTATTCTTGACACGCAAAAACTAAGACCATCAAACCCTGACCCCCAGACACTAATTCTAGAGGATGATGTTTTGTTTCAGTTAGAAAATGTTAAGCGTCTATTTTTTGTGCATGTCTTTGACTATACTTAACGAATTAAAAATAACTAAATTTATTGATTAGCCAGATAATTAAATCATAAGCTATCTTTTAGCTTGAATGAAGGAAGTTACTGTTCAATGTGGTATTGTTCATCTTCAAATTTAGCATTTTTCATAACTTCTAAAATTTCTGTTTCCACATTCCACCCAAATAGAAACTTCCTTAAGTCTAGCAGGTAATCCTGAAGGTTCTGTGTCTTATTAGGACTTACTGAAGACCTAGTGTAAACACAACGGTAAATGTGGTTTTGATTCTCTTCTCCTTCAGGTGGAAATCGAAACCAATCAGCTACAAGATGGCTCCTTAATTGACCTTTGTGGTGCAACCTTGTTATGGCGTACTGCAGAAGGCCTTTCCCACACTCCTACTGTGAAGCACTTAGAAGCTTTGAGACAGGAAATCAACGCAGCACGGCCTCAGTGCCCCGTAGGGTTCAACACACTAGCCTTTCCCAGTATGAAGAGGAAGGACGTTGTAGATGAAAAACAACCGTGGGTATACCTAAACTGTGGCCATGTTCATGGTTATCATAACTGGGGAAACAAAGAAGAACGGGACGGAAAGGATCGTGAATGTCCTATGTGTAGGTCTGTCGGTCCCTATGTCCCTCTGTGGCTTGGATGTGAAGCTGGGTTTTATGTGGACGCCGGCCCTCCCACCCATGCCTTCAGCCCTTGTGGGCACGTGTGTTCAGAAAAGACAACGGCCTACTGGTCCCAGATCCCACTTCCTCATGGTACTCACACTTTCCACGCAGCCTGTCCCTTTTGTGCACATCAGTTGGCTGGTGAACAAGGCTATATCAGACTTATTTTCCAAGGACCTCTAGACTAACAGCTGTCTCTAGGACTGCATTATAAGTTTATAAGCTAAGCGAGTTGGGTTTTCCAACCAGTTGTCCAAGTAAGTTTCTCAGCTCTGGTCATTTGCATTAAGATGAAGAATTTTTTAAATATTTATAATAGTGATTTCTGAGAAAAATCTGGGAAACTCAAGCAAAGGAATTTTTGAAAGTTCCAGACTTCTGAATTCTGAGTTTTGAAAATATATTTTGAGGAGAAAAAGACATAGTCTAATTTGATGCCTTCATTTTAGTGTTTTGAATCACCACCCATACTCAGTGTTGAGTTCTTCTGTATAACTGAGGGTCTTGGTTCAAACTACATTAGTTTACAATTTGTTGCAAACATTGTAAAATATAGCAATGTGTATATTAATTTTTTCTATTTATCTTTATCATAGAAAATACCTTAGAATGTCGTGATAGAGTAGCATGGTAACGACGGTGTCACACACATTTGGTGTGAATGGTAGCATAGTGAGCACATAGCTCAAGGATTTGCAAAGCTAAGGAGAAAGACAAGAGCTTCCCTCCCCCGGGCCAGTGTAGGTAGGGAATCTGATGGATTAGAGTATTCCATAAAACCAGATTCACAGAATTACCATTGTCTCAAAGGTGTTTGTTTTTAACCACATTGAAGTTAATCAAAAAACTTTTTTTCCTTAATGTTTCTCTCAAGTGTAGTACTATAACAAAAGCTAATGCTAAGAGACATTTTATATGCTCCTTTGAATATGCAATCTAATCTAGATGATCTATTTTTCTCCCATGGTAACTGATCTGTTTTTAGTGCCAGCGACATTTGGCAAGTTTATTTTTTTGGATATAAACTGTGGTTCATCTGTTCACTGTTTCTAAAAAAAAGAAAAAGAAAAAGAAAAAAGAAAAAATCCTATGAGAAACGCATAAATTAACAAGAAATTAACAAGAGAAGAAAATTACTTGATTTGCTTTTAGGAAAAAGAAATAAAGTGTTTTGTAAATTATTCTGTATTGGGTTATTCCAAGCAGTAGAAATGTAGAGCTACGAAGGGTTGAACGACAGCAGTACCTCCCTTGTAACCCAGCAGACCAGCCTTAACTGCGGGCTTGACTCCTAAGGACAGTGGCCTCAGTGTGACTCCGGAAATGTCTGGTTGGCGGATGAAGGGGCGTGGCAGCAAAGGAGGACACACCCCAGGGTCTCTTAGTTCTCTAAATCCAGTATGTGCTTTGCAAGACAGTTTCTTCTCACCCTAGCCTTTTTTAAAATGCACCAGACATACAAACAGTTGCACTACACCAAACCCTTTTAACACTTATAGAAATCAGCATACATTTAGATTAGACAGCCATCTTTCAGTCTTTGATTTCTTTTCCTTTCGTTTGAAAAACTGTATAATACTTAATCGACTATTGTCAAATTTTTATATGTGGTAGTATAGCTTTACTTTATCTTACTACATCAGTGTTTTGTTGTTTTTTTTTAAGTAAACAAAAAAGTCACTTAGAAGCCATGAACTATTTTATTTTACTTGATTGTCAAATTCTTTGTTTTGAAAATGATCATTTGGGTTCACTCAGGAAATGCATGTCAAGAAATTTGTATTATAAGTTAGCTGTGATGTATCAGTAACTGCTGGTTATTACCCTTTTTTCAAAGAGATTTAGTTGATTTTGAAGTTTTCTGGTCACATGCTTTGTGACTAATGCAAGGAAATCAAGTCCTGTGTTGTTTGTTCCTGTCATTTCTGTTGAGGCTATATATTGTAGCTTAATTTTTATTTGCAATTAATTTATTCAAACTAAGTAAATACTTTTCAAAATAGATACTTGAATTTGTCTCTGTGGGTTCCTTTTTGCACAATTGAGAATGGAAAGCCAGAAGTGATAATTCTACCCAAGACTAACCAGATCTGCCTCACTCTGCTGACATAGTCATCGTGTTAAATGCACAAGAGTTTGCATTTAATGGAACACTAAAGTCTCTGGTCCTCTAGGTTAGAGAGAGGGCTGGCAACTGAGCTACGTGAATCGTGCTTATGATGATAGAGGTTCCATCTTTTCCCCAGAAGCCCTCAATTTTCTCTCCTATCAGCTCTATGAAACTTGTTTTTAAAATTCAAGAGATGAAAATCATTAGTCAAGTGTTTTGTGTAAGCACGTTAAGAGGTAGTTCTGTTTTATACTTACTCGTCTGCATTAAAGGAATTTCAGGTGGCTCAGTGGTTAAGAGCACTTATTGCTCTTGCAGAGGGCGGGAGTTTCATCCAGCACCTAGGCAGGTGGCTTATAGCGCCTTTGACTGCCTCCAGGGAATCCAGTGCCCTCTTCTGACCTCTGTGCCTGCCCTATATATGTGCAGACACATGCACATAAAAATAAATCTGGCCAGCACTCAGGAGTCAGAGACATGCTGTTCTCTGAGTTCAAGGCCAGCCTGATCTACAAGTGAGTTCCAGGACAGCCAGTGCTACACAGAGAAACCCTGTCTCAAATAATAATAATAGTAATGATAATAATAAATAAACCTGTAAAGAAATGTCCATATTTTGGGCAAGGGAAAAACAGCTATATGTACTTTTCCTAAATGAACTCTCAAGGAAGGTAATCCGTAAGTCTTCTTGCATCAGAGTGATCTTAATATTTAGAAGGCCCTTGGTCTGGAAGGATCCATTCCTGTTCATGCCACACGCTCTGAATCATGAAGGGCAGTCAGATAGTTTAAGAATCTATGCCAGGTTACCCTGTACTACCTGTTCCTGGTTACCTCACCCTACCAGTACCAGGTTACCCCGTCCTCCCCAGACCAGGTTACCCCATCCTCTCCATACCAGGTTACTCTGTCCTCCACATTCCAGGTTACCCCGCCCCCTACATTCCAGGTTACCCCGCCCCCCACATGCTGCGTGGTCCTGGAGATCAGAAGTTAAGGGTTACATGTGCCTGGCAAGCATTCTATCAGAACTGTATCCTACCAACTCCTTTTGAAGCTACAATTACTTGCTTTGCTCTTAGAAAAATCTTTTGGAACAGGGTAAAAACTAAATAATTATGCAAATAAGTAATTATATCTAGGGCTAGATAGATGGCTAAGAGGTTAAGAGCACTGACTGATCTTTCAAAGGTCCTGAGTTCAATTCCCAGCAACCACATGGTGGCTCACAACCATCTGTAATGAGATCTGGTGCCCTCTTCTGGCCTGCAGGCATACATGCAGACAGAACAAAATCTAAATAATAATAGTAATTATTATTACTATTATTATATCTAGCATTTGAGTGTTCCCCTTAGGATATCTTGGGACCCATGAGTGATAATGACTTTCTGACACAGACAGCACCAGTAGGTATTCTGTTCAACTTCCCTTTAAATTTATAAGCGACATTTAGAAGTGTGTCACTTCACCCTGGTACATCTTGTGCTGCCAACTTTAGAGACCACTGGTCACTTCCTGATGCTTTTTCTTTATGCTGGAGGCATCGGCCCTGTAAGAAATCAGATTGGCGGACTCTGTCCACACTGCATCACTGCGTCTCACACTCCCTTCCAGGGTCACTGGAGAGCGCATGCGCTAAGCCTCTTTCCCCTCCCATCGTTCATTCTAACAGAGCATATACTTGAATGCCCGTGAGCGTAAGCTATTCTAGTTGAGTGGTGTAGCGAGGGAACACATCCCTACCGTGGCGGGATTTGTCATCTAGTAGGAGAGGCGGATGTGAGCGAGAAAAGTTGCAGCAGTGTGGACGGCGAGCCACCCTGACAGGACAAAGCAGCGGAGAAGAGGCGGGGTGTCAGATACGCGCCTGGGCTGGGAGTGTGCCTGCGTCATCTGTGAAAGGAAAGGACGTCAGCATGGCTGCAGGGAATGAGAAAGGGAGAGCAGTTGGTAAGAGAACAAAGCCAGATACTTGGGGTGGGAGGTTAGAAACGTAACCAACTCCCGTAAGTTGTCCTCTGACCTCCACATCATGTAACATAGCACACGCACTCCCAACACGCAAGGACACAGTAAGTAAAATGTACTTTTAAATTTAAAAAATGCCGTTCTCTTACATGTTAGCAAGAATTGTCGGTTTCCTATCATTTCATTTTCCATAAAGCTTAAAAAACCGCTCAAGTGACACATTCGAAGAGCAGAGCCCTGAAGCTTGTTTCATGAATCTAGATTATAAAACCTGCTTCCCCGAAGGAAGTATGTCTCTCTCGTAATTGTCCACAGGAAGTCAGTAAGTAAAATCAAAAGAGCTTTCCCAGTAACGGTCACAGAGCACAGCATGGGACCTGGGTTTAGACGCTGTGATGGGGAAAGCAGGTTCCTGTGCCAGTTTGTAAACCCAGCTGTGTGAGTCCGAGGCAAACTACGGAGTGTTTGCTGCATGCCAATCATCGTCACAGGCACAATATTGAGAAAATATTAGTGCTGTTCAAATCCACCAGACATGGTAGGAACTATTATTTGGAAACTCATCACAGCAATGTAATTTGCCCAAGGTTCAGATGGTTTAACTGAAGGACTCACAACTTGAACTTCTCAGTTTGCAAGTGTTTCCCCATTTTAGTGAGAACACATTGAAGGATTCTTTATTTGTCGATACAAGTTGATGAACTAAGTAATTATGGCCACAGCACATTTAAGACACAAGGTAAATGTTCAAAAACTATCTCAATAATCAGAGAAAACTGATACCTCGAGCTATCGCCACACACTTATGAGTAAGAAACACTAATAAAAATAGTCAAAATCACGGAAGGCTACAGAAGCTATTGAGTCTATCAGAAAACCTGTTTACCTTGGCTGAACAGGCTACCTACATGGCATGGCACTGACTTGAAGTTTGGCGGGATAAGTAGAGAAAACCCATGAGGAGTGCTTCAAGAGAACTACAGCCTGGGGAAACCGCACCAAGTGTCGTGGATGCTCAGCCTCAGCGGTCAACTCCACATAAGCCTGGAGTCACCTGGGAAAGGGGAACCTCGTGAAGATTTAACCAGATAATGTCGGCCTGTGGCCATGGCTGTGAAGCATTTTCTTAATTGCTAGTTGATGTAGGCAGACCCAGTCCGCTGCAGGTGATGCCATCCCTAGGCTGATGAGCGAGCCAGGGAGAGTGAGTCTGTGAGTAGTGTTCCTCGGGGTCTCCGCTTTACTTCCCGTCTCCAGGTTCCCGCCTTGAGCTCTCCTGCCCTGGCTTCCCTCGGTGGTGGGCTGTAACCAGTAAACTGAACTAACTGCACATTCCTACCTAAGGTTTTACAACAGCAACCTGAGAACAAACCGGAAATGTCACTAAGATGTTTGGTGCCCAGATGAGGAAGCGCACAGATAGCAGCCAATACTTGTAGGAAAAATTAAGATTGTATCATTTTAGATGTGCCTAAGCTTACATCACTGTACAATTAGTGATCATTCAAAGTGTATATGAACTAAAGGTCCCAGCGAGCAAGTTGCAGATGAGGAAACCAAGTGTTGCCCGGTAAGGCAGCCATCCACTGGTGGATACCTGGCATTAGGTTTCCTGCCTCCCTTGATGTTTGTTTGTGGTTTCCTAGGTCTTTGGAGCTGATCTTGTATAGGGTTAGATTGTGCAGCAGATGGTCCCCAGCTAACCCCTTACAGCTTTTATTTCAGGTGCTCAGGCATCTCTTTGATACAGCAAAGTCAGAGTCTTTTAAGTGTATCACAGCTGGGTCCTTATTCTGTTGAACCTTTTAATCATTTAAGGGTTAATGGAAAAGGGTACTGAAGGAGTACAAGAAGGTTTGGGGGGGACAGCACAGAACAGCCACCCCCTCAGTACCTAAGTCAAGTACCCACCCCAGTAGCTTGTATTGTGCCGGTTTGAACATCTTTGTGTGTGAGATGTACATGCATGTATATGTGTGTTCACACGTGTGTGTGTGTGTGTGTGTGTGTGCAAACCAGAGACTGATGCTGAGTATTTTCTCAGCCTAGAAAGAGAAAGGGGGGGCATAGATTGACACTGAGTATCTCTGAGAGGGGAGGGGGGGTAGGAGAGGGAGAGGGAGGAGAGGGAAAGATAGTCTGGCTAACGTAGCCAGCCAGCTTGCCCTGAGAATCGTCTCTGATTCCCAGTGCTGAGATGGCTGCCCGGCCTGCTCAGCCCTTATGTGGAGCCTTATGCCTTTGTGGCAGGTACTTTTACTTAAGCAAAATTGTTCCTCACCTTTCTATGAATGACTTTGTTGTGGAGAGTTAAGCTTACATACCAAGCAGACACACCATGAAATGGAAGAGACATGAGTAAAATAAGATATAAATGCCGAGTGTTTTTGCACTTGAGAATATTAGTAAACTGACCTTGGTCATTATCATATGTCACTATCACCAGCATTTGAAGCCTCCGGTTAACCTGGATTCCCAAATACCTGGAGCCTGAGTTAGTTAATATCTCCAAGGGAACATTTGCACATAGACAAGAAGTTCCCACCTCTGAGTGACAACAGGGCAAGAACAAGCCAGAAACCCATTTTGTTTCTCTAATTTTTTTTCTGTTTATAGTGGTTCACACCTGTAATCCCAGCAGGCAGGAAGACTGCCATGAGTTCTGTGTTGTGGAATATTAGTGAAGATGTGTTACATTTGTTTATGCTGTGGAACATTTGTTTAATGATGCAAAGACGTGTCTCATTGTTTTACATTGTATTTGTTTAACTCTGAAGCTGTGTTACTTTGCCTATCTAAAACACCTGATTGGTCTAATAAGCGCTGAACAGCCAATAGCAAGGCAGGAGAAAGGATAGGCAGGACTGGCAGGCAGACCCAATAACTAGGTGGATGAATCTGGGAAGAAACGATTGAGGGAGGA